TTAATACTTCCTGGATCGTTTATTATTCTGCCCAAAGCATCCTTGATTACAGCAACTCTAGGTTTGAATTTGTTCTTCAGTTTTCTGGTGGCCTTCATAAACTTCAAGAAATACATTTGATGAAAGATAGGAAGACCTTCAACAACATGGATTAACACAATAACCATTTTCTTGAGTATGTGGGAGATCATGAGACTGGCACAGGGTACGTTAAGTTTCAGATATGTTATTCATAAAGTTGCTATGAATCCTGGTCGACTCGAAGACACCTAACAACATTACTGAGTAAGTATCATACAGTAAAGTTTTAACTTGCACTTAAGAGAATGTCATACAATTAGTGGCTACTAGGATGAGGAGAAGGAGTAAACAAAGTTTTAGTAAACTAAGTTTCTATAAAACATGATTTTAAAAGTTGGGAGATGAACAGAGGCTGCATAATATGTTGAACATAAAAATGAGTGAAATCGTAAATTTTTCATTACATATATTTCACCACAATAAAAATGCTTAAAAATAACAAAAAAACCTCTGAAGTACTAAAATTTAATTGACACAGGACAGCCCTAACTTTTCATTTCACAGTAAAAAAAAAATTAGCGAGATTTAGGACTTGTCTTCTGAAGACATAGAACATTCTCAGCATGCTAGAGGCCTTTCTTTACCCCAAGCCCCACTCCCTAGGGTAATCAACATTCTAGCTTCTAGCCCCATAGTTTTGCCTCACATTATCTTAAAAATAAGTTAGGATAAAAAAAAAGTTGGAGTAACTTTCCCCCTAGAAAGTAATTTTATCCCTGATATTACTGAATTGTAATAAGCAAGATGGTAGTGTTTTTGTTTTAATGGAGATTTCTTACAATGATTTTCTTTTCAGTAACTCTACTATGTAGAACCACTGTCATCAAGCTGAGTCCGACTGACAGTGACCCTCTATTGAGTTTTCAAGGCTGTAAATCTTTACAGAAGGAACTGTCCATATTTCTCCCACAGAGCTTCTGGTGGATTCGAATTGCTGATCTTTTGGAAAGTAGCCCCATACGTTAAGCACTACACAAATTAATGCTAACCTGACAAAAATCAATGTTGTTCTATAAATCTTACTGATGAAATCTCAGCATAAGACTGTTGTGTTATGTTTATGCGCTTTCAAGTCACTTGTGATTCACAGTGACCCTATGTACAACAGCTTTATACAAAAGCATAACATTTGTTTTTTAAAAAAAAAAGCCAAAGCATAAGATTAGGTTTATCATTTTTATACTATTGTAAAATGAAAGAATTATTATTCTCTTAGTCAAGCTACATCTTAAAAAAAAGCACTTCGGACCCACGAACCCCATCTTCAGGTACTGCATTGATCCCCCCCCAACCCGGCTCGCGCCCCCCCCCCCCCAGCTCTGAACTT